ATCTATGAACGCTACAAATGAGTGGACTGAATATGACTGTAACAGGTTTTAGATTAATGAGAGAAAACACATTTCACTTGGCTAACAACAGAAATATGATATGAAGCACAACTGTCCAATAAGTGTTTACTTTTTCATAATTGTATGAGGTCTGTCAAAGATCGGCCTTTATTTTAAATTACAGGATGCCCTAGCCCCACATACATATATATACATATATATATATATATATATATATATATATATATATATATATATATATATATATAGCATGTTGTGTGTGTATATTTATATATAAAGCATATTATAGCCATTAATGTAAAAATTTTGTAAATTACAAGTTCCTTTTAGATTTCTGTTTAGTTTTATTTAATAGATGGATCAGTTTCTGAATTTTTAATTTATAGATCTATAATTTTTATATTTGGAATTGTTGTGATTATTTTGTTTAATTTAAACCCACCAGTTCATTTATTCGATAAGCCAGTTACTCATTCAAAAAAGTCCTGTTCCTGGTCCCAGTTCCTTCCTAACTCAGATAGCACTTATTATGGCGACTGCGGACACATTTCCGCCGATGGAGCCATAGTTTTAAAACTTGAATATCCTTATCGCTACCCGATCCGTACCGGTAGCACGATCCGTACCATCAGCTCATTTGCGCCTGCGCGAACAGAATAACTTCCGGGTCGCCAAAAAATTATGTAATTACGGTACTGAAAAAACTTTATTTATATCCTTAAATAATTAAAGAATACTAAACTACACAATAAAGACAATATTGAAGACTTTTCTGGAAGAAATGGATGCTTTTTAAATTCAATCCATTGTATTGCTTGACGTCATCATCAGACATGTTAAGAGCAGTCTGGGAATATATTATTGCGTAACGTTTATCCGATGCACTCTATGATAATAGAGTGAATGCACTCTATTATTTTTTTATTTGAGAAAAAAAATATATTTTATTCCTTGATAACATCCAATATTGACGAAAATACAAAGATATACAAAAAGAAACCCATGCCTCTAAAAAATACAAAAGAATAAAAAAGTAAGAAAAAGGAAATATTGCCACCGGAAGTTATTCTGTTTGCGCACGCGCAAATGAGCTGATGGTACGGATCGGGTAATGACAATCCTCAGTTAACCAACAGCTGTAACGCGGCTTGTGCCTCAGATTTATGTGCATAAAAGAAACGGAATACAAAGATTCCTGTTTGGGACTTTAGTATGCATATAAAGATAGGAAATTGTTTGCATTTTTAAACATATTGGTAAAACGTTTCTAATAAATTAATTTATTTTATTAGAATTAATTAAAGCCCTAGAATTTAATTTAGGCCCTAGTTTTAACTGAAATTGCTCGTTTAAATATTTATTGCACTTTTGTTCGTTTGGCTAATTTCTGACTTCCTTTGTAGGCTGTTATTGAGTTTGTTTCCATCTGTTTTCTCATCATGGATCTGTTTATGTCGACAGTCCGGTGCGAGACACTGTGGTGACGAATGATCGGTGGGGCGAGGGCTCCATCTGCAAACACGGCGGATATTACACCTGCACCGACCGCTATCAGCCAGGACACCTGCTCAAACACAAATGGGAAAACTGCATGACCATCGACACGAAGTCCTGGGGCTACAGGCGCAACGCCCCCCTCAGTGACTACCTCACCATCGAACAGCTCGTGGCGGTGAGAAACCAAAACCTTTTTACCGCCGATGAAACGTGGCAGAGAGGAGAGCAGGTTCTTTAATTAAAAAGAGACTTTTTTCCTTATTTTAATCTTATATCGGATGTTTATGACACTTTAGTGATCAGAAAAAATGAAAATAAACTGAAGTTATAAAACAATCAGTTCGTAAATGATTATAGTCCAACACAAGATAAATATAAACATTATCATTAACCTGTTTATTATTAATAACTTAAATCTTTTTGTTAATGTTTTAGTTAAGAAAATAAAAAAAGGGCTTTATTCTAGGGGTTGAATATTGCACAAATCATGAGTGATTGATCTGGACAGGAAGTTAAATCTAAGTCTCTCGGGATTTTAAAGAAGGAGCTTTGCAGCCTATTTTATGTTGTAATGCTTTCTTTACCTGAAAGAGTAACGAAACGAAAAACAAAAAACAGGAGGAGTCTTGGGTTTGTCTCCTTTGCTGCCAGAGCTATCAGATAGAGAACTGGAATGGGGATGTTTATTTTTTTAACCAACACTGGCCGTCGTCTTTCTCTCTCTCGGTTGGACGGATAGTCACTGTTCAGTTTCTTACATCATCACTATGGTTGTTGTCTGAGGAAAATCAAGAAAAACTGATAAAATATATTTTTTCAGAAACCTTCATCAATTAGGATTTTTAATTTGTGAATTACCAATGGTTCCAGCCAGGGCTTAAAGGAATAGTACACCCAAAACATGATTAGCCTTCATTTTCTAC